AAAGAGACGGCTGAGGGAATTTGGCTTCCAGCAGTGCTGAGAGCCTGTCATGCTGAACACACGATTGTTACTAAGAGTGCAGCATAAGGTCTAACAGGGCTGGTGAGCGGGCGGGCATGAAGGTTTAGTCTGAACTATGTGCTTGCTCTGTATCTGCCAGTGGCCAAGGGAGAAAGAACCTCTCCAGGGTAGAGGGTAAGCGACTGCTCTTTCCACCTTGCCTCATTTTACATGGGTGCAAATTTGCCTGTTGTAGCTACAGATGCAGAGGCCATGCAGTGTAGCCCTTGGCAGACCTTCCAGTTGTATAATTTCATGAATTGGGTGTCCTCCATGAACATAAAATATGCAATCAGGTCTTCCTGATCTGGAGGCTTCTTGCAGTAAATACAAAAGTTATGTAGAACACACTGCAGCTATGGTGGGGTGTTATTGGTGTTCCTCACAGTCTCATGCTAATTTGCTGATACACTTACTCTTATTGTCACTAGGGAAGTTTCTGTGGGTCCAGGAAGAGTCACTAACTTGGTCAAGAAGCTGCCATTCATGGCAGGGTTGAGACATGTTAACAGGAAAACATGACCTGTTAATGTCTGTGCCTCACCTTTTGAATAAGCACCAGACATCAGTTCCTGCCATTGTTAATTTGGCCCTTTTGATGAGCATGAAATTAGTGTGATGAAAGAGCCTCTAGTGGATTTTCCTTCTGCTTAACAGACATTTTGCTCGTTAAAAAGACCCCAAACAAACAAACTCCATTGCATATGAATGGTTTCACTGTGTTAGCAATTTTTATATCTTATTGGCAGTGTTCTAAAGCTATGAAGATTCAGACTGCTCAGTTCCCCAGAGAGCCTTACAATTACAACAATGACTGCTGGAGCACAAAAAAAGTCATTTGGCAAAATGGCCATCCTGGCTTCCTCTGCCTCATCCTCCCCTCTCTCTGACTTCCAAGTCCTGTTTGCCCCGTTTACTAGACAAATACACTGTTTGCTATTTTCCAGGGCAGATGTTTGTTTAATTCGGCACCTTCTGCTTCCTTCCCGAGCCTGAGGAAAGTCATACTGTTCACTGTATTTTCTTTCTGTTTACAACACTCTGCACTGCCAGCCAAGGTGCAGAAATGAGGAAGGACACTGGTTGCTTTGAAAATTATTTATCCATCTCATAAGAAGTGATTCCATGTGCAAGCATTTCCAGGACCTTCACCACCACCTCCTGTATTCTATAAATGGCAAATAACAACACACAGAAAACATCTGACTGGATTGTCACTGTGCAGAGAGGCTGTATCCAGCCACTGAATATTTTTATGTAGAGAACAAGCCCTCTTTTTCTGAAAGAGCATGAAGATCCCAACTTGAACTGACTCATGCTCTGATCCAGATGGATCCTGCTTGAACAATCCTGCTATGGAAAACTGTTACTGCTCGAGAGAGTATTTGTCTTGTAGTCTGGACCAATGACTATGCAGAATCAGACTGGCTGCAGAAAGTCTAAATAATGTGTCACTTTAGTGCTGATTTGAGGACTTAGGAGGTACAAAGACAGGGAGCTGCCTTTCTCTGTTAGAAGACATCTTGCCTGTAGTGAGGCCTGAGAGTGCGTGGAGAAACAGCTTTACAGACCAGCTCTAACTAACTAGATACTGTAGTGTTAAGGCTCATCTGTGTTCTCTTGCCACTGAAGTCAGTGTTCCAGGAGTCTCAGCAAAATTTTGGATTTAGTCCCACCCGTTTATTCTTCCCTTCCATCTTTCTTTGTGCAACTGGCACAGAGTGTTTTCTCCTTCCTTGCGAATTCCTTCAAAAGTTTTGGCTTATGCTTGTCTCCTCTACTTCTTGCTTTACTCATGCATCTGGTTTCTGTAAAGCTCTGTGGCTTTATATACCTCTCCTCCACAAAGGATGGCTTTACATACCAAGCAGCAGACAGAGAACTTAACTCTAAATGAATCCAGTACAACAGAAGGATGAAGATATATTCCTCTTTTACCTTAATAAACAATATAGTGCTGTTGTTCCTGATAGCTTGTGAATTTTCAACAAATCCAGAGATAATTGCTAGTTTTAGATATATATATATATCAGTTCGGAGCTGGGCTTTTATCTACATGCTCTATGTACCCATTTTCCTGTAAATAAAAAAGCACTGTAATTGTCATCAGAACAATTTGTTGCAATTTGAATGCCTGTAAGTAATGAATATGCAATGCAGGTTATTCATTATAGGCTGAAAAAAACTATCTACATTGGCTCGTTACACCTTTGCAGAAGCCAGGCAGGAACTCCTGAGGTTTTGCAGTCTGGAGCTGCCATGGTCATGGGTGAGTTGTCTCGGGCAGTGCTGTCTGTGATTTACACTGCTGCATGGCACCGCACACTGGAGGCCCTCCTGGGAGTGCTGTTGTGTTTGTTCCTGCTGTGCTGTAAACTAACAGACTTAACGGGAACTTCAGCAAAACTTGCTGTGAGTTTCAGATTTCTATTTTACTGCAGACTTCTTCACTTCTCCAGGATGCAGTCTCACACAAGCCAATAGAAGCAAGAGCCTTGTGAGCATCTGCAGCTTGCTATATTATTTTTGTTTCCTCAATAGTTTTTTTGTTTCAAGAAATCACTTTGGAATTAGTTCTGCCTCTGATCCATTGCAGACATTCTTACCTACATGATCACAGGTTTTCTTACAAGAAATAATTACTCATTCATGGGATTGTCTTACTTCATGTGGCATCTTCTGCAGAGCTGGAATAACCTCTCTGAAAAAAACCCCCAAGATGCCAAAATTACCAACACAACAAATTCTGCAGTTGTTAAATGTACTGAGAGCTTCTCAGGACAAAGAAGTGGAACTGAATTTGGCTCAGGCATTCTCCAGAATAGTGTAACAGAGCCTTGTATATGGCAACAATATGATTCCCTTGTTTCCTTTAAAGTCTCAGTCTTATCGCATCCTTCTCATTTCTTAATTTTACAACTGCCATAAACAGAACAGTTTCAAAAATGTTTGTGCTATAGCCATTTAAATCTTCCTTTCTTGGCCATCATGTTGTATAGACAGTTAATTTAATAATTTTATACTTTCTGGTTTAGGTCATTGTTCCAGGAAAGCACTTTCTGTTTTCTCCTTCTCCTTAGAGATCAGAATATCTCTAATGCTGTAGTTCTTCCCTGTCTTCATTCTTAACTGTATCCACAGTTTTAGTGTTGTCAGCAGATATGAGCATCTTACATTTGACATTCATATTTAAACCATTGCAACCCCCTCAACAGTCTCTGATAGCAGATTAGATAATCTCAGGATTTGTGGTGTAACTTTATGAAATCTCTGGAATGCAAACCTTTCCATGAGTTTACCTAGCTGGAAAGGTAAAAGACGAGATGTCTGTTGGAAGGGATCCAAGCCATAATGATAGCAGTGGAAACTTCCCACAGACTTCAAGATCCTCTAAAGCACCAGTGCAAATGCTATGAGTGACAAACAGAAGGTAGCTGGGAGATGCTCCTTTTGGCCATAAAGGCTTTGGGGTGCAGCTCATTTCAGTTTCTTAGACAACATTTGTGTGCTGAAATGCTCAGCTCCCTAAAGCATAATTATTCTCTTCAACCTGTGACTCCTTCCAATAAACTGTAACACAAAGGCCACCAGCCAAATTCTTCTCTTGTTTATGTGTTCATAACAGATCGGTGAACAAAATTCTCCTTTCACTTCCACTGGTATGAGAGGTAACTCCATTTAAGCCTTGTGAAGGACTGCTGGGGGAAAAAAAAAAACATTTTATGAGAGACAAAAGTGAGCCTGCTGATTTCAGCTCAACTGCATAAATATAAGTGAAGGCAGAATTGAGTCCTTATTATTTCCTGTCTACTGCATTTCTCTCATTCTGTCATGGCAGCTGTGTAGATGGAAACTCCCAAGATTTCTAGAGCCAAGTCATCTTTCACCAGTAAAGTTATACTGACTCACATAATAGATTAGACTGTCACACTAAACCTGACAAACAACATTTAATATGTCTCAAATTGCATCCAGGCGGATATCCCTGTAAACTACTGTCTCTACCATGCAGATGTTTCCCATATCTTCAGGAGCAGCTCTGATGGTCAAGCGGGAGGATTGGGAGCTCACAGATTAGGGCTAATGGTGAACCCAGTCTCTTCTCTCTGCTGGTGGTTCTGTGCATTTTATAACTGTGTTGCTGCCATTCCAAGGAGAAACACATTAGCACTGTGTATCAATCCTCCTTTGTAAAGGCAGAAACAAAGTGAAGTTGCAATCTGTCTTTGGAGGTCTCCTTAGGTGACTCCCACTTAGGCTGACAGGGGTCCTCTTTGATTCTGAAGGAAATACGTACAGGTTTTCCTAATTTTCACCCCCTCCCCATCCCATTATTTTTTGCAGAAACCATTCTCTTTTACCTTTTGCTAGCAAAAACCAAAGCTTTTGAACAATGCAGGGCTGCTAGTAGCTTGTCTCTATTTCTTTTCCTCTGCTAACTATTCTTTTAACTTGCTCCAGCCTTGGTTTGTTTTTTGTTGGATTTTTTTTTTAGATCTGCTCTCCGCTGTCTGCCTCCCTCCCAGAGTGTTTCTGTTTGAAAGACTTCTCCATTTTGCTGGTGCTAATCTTCACATCCTCACTTATTCCCATTGGCCTCTGTTGCCCTTTTGCCTGTTGGGATGAATTTCAGTTATATCCTCTCCAATTGTTCTTTAACTTTTCCAGCTCTTTGCAGTCAGCTTTCTGGTGCACCATAGGACTCCAGACTGAAATTCCTCTGGGCAGTTCACATTTCCTTAAATCTCCATAAGGTGAAAAGCATTTGGGATTCTAGCACTGAGGAGTATTTCAAATGTAACGATAACCCTGTCCCAGATGTGCAGAGGTCTGTAAGAGGGGAGATGCAGCACAGACATGCTTCCTTGGTTATTCATGTGTGTATCTGCTTGACCTGTGACAAATGAGTCCTTGTGCAAATGGAGGTATTTCCCTGCCTAGCAGGGATGCCTGAGAACTACTGACCAAGCTGCTGTAGGATTCGGTGATGGCCAGGACTTACCACAGCAGAAAGCCTTGACTACCGAGTGAAGGGGTAAGACCTTTAGCTGCTGGGAAAGATGTTAGCCAGTATACTCCACTCATGTTTTACTCAGTTCACCTGCTCCAGGAGGTAATAGGGATCATTTTTATCAATCCTTAATTGTTAAGACTAAACCAATGCAGGTTTTGATGCATGATGATACTTCCAAGGAAGTCAGTCGCAAAACTCCAGCTGAAGGCAGTGGGTGCAGGAAGAGCATCAGATACAAGCCAAGGTATTCACAGTCAGAACTAGAGCTCTGGCCTTCTAGATCTTGAATTTTGGAAGGAGACAACAGTCACAATGTGAGCAGATGCTCTGTCCTTCTCAGCCTCCCATTTCCTCCCTTTTGTTCATACTTGACAGAGATTCACAGAGATTTCTTTCAAAGGCAGGACTTTTTTTCCTTCATCCATTTTCTGATGCTGTGCTTTGCTTGTCTCTTTCACATTGTCTTAAAAAAAGAGAAAAGGAAAACTAGTTCTGTGAGACTACAGGGAGGAAAAAAATGTCTCTGGAGTCTCTTTAGGATCTTGGCTTGAAGCACAGCAAACACCGCCATTATGGTTAGCAACAAAGGACACAGCATCGCTTCCAGCAAAATCACCACTTACTTTAGCGTGAGTAGGATTAGGCCAGGAAAAAAACCACAACTGTATTTAATAGAGGAGAAACTGACTTTGGCTAAAACAATAAGCCACACTCCAGACCTGCAATGACAACTGTTTAGATCCAAGACTCAAGGAGGTACTGCCTTGCCCTGATAGATTCTGCTTATGACTCCAGCAAGTCTAACAATCACTCTCACTAGCAAGATCTTTTGTGCATCCTAATTCAGCCTGCAGCCCTTAGCTGCAGCAGTGGAGTGCAGGTCCTTCAGATAACCACAAACTGTAATTAGGTCGTATTCTGAGTAAATAATATGTGGGTGGGAAAAGGAAGAAAGGGGAGGGAGAGAGCAAATGAAAGAAAGGCAGAGTTTTGGCAGGATTACAGAACTGCAGAAAGCTTCTTGTAAGTCTCAAGCTAAAAATGGGAGAGGTTTGCATTAAAACAGAGCTTTAATAGGCTCTGTAAATTGGCATTTTTGGTGATTAGGTAGACAGGCTTTTTTCATTTTTAATGACTCTTAATGCTGAAACACTGTTGTAACTCTTCTGTTACAAGCCTCACTTTCAAAGGGCAGCATGGGAGGAGATCCCCTGGAGCTGCAGGCCTGGGTGCTCTGGGGAGTGTTAATGCAAGTGTTAGCATCTGTTTGCCTTTGTAGCTCTGTGCTTAGTCCACCCCAAACTGTATTTGCACACTACTGTACAGTTCTCTTCTTGTGGCCTGGCCTCAGAGTTTGGTCCAGAGAGAATGAATGTTGTGGGCTGTTAGGCAGGTCCTTGACCCTGGGGCATCCTGGGGAGTTTTGTACCGTGGTGGTCCATGAAGTGGCAGCCAGGAATGCGGCTGTGCTGCCAAGGTGCAGAGAGTTCTGCTCTCACTCTTTTCTCAAAAATCACTAGATACCAATGGGAAGAATGATTCCCTTCATCTGAATACAAGGCAGCAACATATTATGCATGATGCCTTCAGCAGCTGCAGCCCAAACAAGAATTACATTCTCTTCACAGCGCCCAGGCAGGGTGATCCCAGGATTTGAAAGACAATGTAATGTCTTTTTGAGGGGCTATGCCCTATCTTCTTATGGAGCTAATGCTGTCAGTATTAATTCCTGGCAAGATCTTGGGACTTCTTATTCCAGGATTCAGGTCCACTCAGTCCTGAACCATTTGTTATTTTCAACCTGCTGCTCCTCCACTTGGGTAAATAGACATCAGCCTCTTTTGAAGTCATTTTCACCCTCATGCATCTTCCTCTTCCCTGTGCTATCTAGATTAGAAAGCCTTTTACTATTTGGAGGCAGAGAGGCAAGACAGAATAATGCACTTGCAGGCTAACATCAGTCTGGAGAAGCAGCATGTGCCTTTGTCATCTGAAATGCTGGATCTGTTACGTGACCATCCATGCTGCCATGTTACATACCCTGCCTAATCCTCTTCCTTTTATTATGATGGTAACAATGATGAAGGAAACAGTAACAAGTGGTAATTTTGGTTCAGCCACGTCAACATTTTACTTGCCCCATGCAAGTGTTTTACAAGATTTTCATATCCTCTTCGAGCCATTAAAAAAGGCGTGGGACTAGTATTGCCAAACAGCATGAGTCCTTTCTCTTCATGACCTTCTCATCTCTCTCTCCTGTATGTGTGTGCATATATATCTATTATCTACAGATCTATATATATCTCCTGTATTTCATCAGTTTCCCCATGAGGATGTTATTGGAGACATCAGTGAAAGCCTTAATACAGTTGAGATAAACAACATCCACTGCTCTCCCCTCATTTACCAAGCCCATCACCTCATCACAGAAGGTTATTAGGTTTGTCAGGCATGACTGCCACTTCATAAATCTATGCTGGCTATCCCTAATCACCTGCTTGTCCTTCATCTGCTTGGAAACAGTTTCCAGGACTATTTGCCCCATCATTTTTCAGGGATCAAGATGAGGCCTGTAGTTCCCAGGATCTCTTGGACAGAGATTTTGATTTCTCCCAGTTCTGAATAATCTCTCAAATTGCCATCACCTTTCAAACATAATTGCAAGTGGCCTTGCAAGGACATCAGTCAGCTCCCTCACCTTTCATGGGTGCATGTTATTAGGTTCCCTGTTTGTTCAAATGTTCCCTAACCTAATCCTCCTCCACCCAGGATAAGTCTTCCTTGCTTGGGATTTTCCCCTTAGCCTGGGATTCCTCAAGACAAATCTTACCACTGAAGACAGAGGCACAGAAGGTCCCCTGCCCCAGCCAGCAGAAGGCTCAGATTTTCCCTAGTTGCCCTTTTGCAGCTGAAGTTATTTGCTGCTTAACTGTTGAATTTAACAACACCTGGGAAACGTTTCCTTTACATGGAAAACCAAGACTTTTCTTGCAAGATCAAAACCTGCCAAACTTTATTTTTGGCTGGAAAATTGACAATGCAAAATAAGTCTTTTTTTTTTTGGACCTTGATTCTTTTGTGATGAAGTAACAACAGTGTTTAAGGAAAACAGATGCTTTCCTGGAAAATCAATATTGTTCTACTTTTACAAAGGGTTAAAAAGCAGTTTGCACTGGGGATTTTTCTGTAGGCCTGTCTGGAACAGAACTGTTTCAGATCAGCGCTTGGTTAGAGAGAAAGTGGGCCACCTTCCTCTGCAGTGATCACTCTGAGCAGGCTGAGCCTGTCTGGAGGCCTGCTGCTGATGGCAAGTGCTCAAAGGACATTCTGATTTGTCTGAGGGCCTCAGATGAGATTGTGGAACAGATACACCCCCCCAAAAAAGTTACCTTAGGAGACTGATGCTGGTTATGGTCAACATGGGTATGTTTCTTGTCAGTAAAATGGCTTATGTTCTGCTTAAATTCCATATATGAGATTCTGGCTTCCACTGGAAATTTGCAGGTTACCAAAAGTATCGAATTCTACATTATCAGCTGCGGGCCCCAGATTCCAGTCTTAAAATATTAATGTCTAGTTTCCGCAAGCTGAATTTGCTGCACATGTCAGCTTCCTGTGCTCTGCTTTTCAAGTTCACTGCTTCCCTAAACTCTACTTCTCTTGAGACGTTTTCATTGGTGTAATGAATGGAAAAAGTTTACCAGCGTGCTCAGTCTGTAAATCCACACTACTCTCTCTGAAGGGATAGACAGCTTTCTTTACAGGAGACATTTATTTTCAGTGTGAATCTGGTCCAAGAGCATTACATAACACTGCAGACTGTAAAAGAGAACAATCCCAGAAAAGATGTTGCAAATATACATATATATACACATATACATGTTCAACATGTATATATCTGTATCTGTATATACAAAATGATGGGGAGGCATGCAAACCCAAGGGAGATCCAGAATCTTCACATCCAGCCCGTGGCTGGTTGACCTCTGCATTTGCCCTATTCCCGAAACCTTTTCCAAGAGTCAGAGGCAAATCACAAAGAAGGTAGCTTGATGCTGACATCTTGTGTACTGTTGACCTGTTTGATTTCAGTGGTACGTCTTTACACAGCAATATGTTAGCCACTAGCAGCCATCGGGTCATTATCATGTTATAGATAATACTTCTCCAAAACAGAACTGATGCCTGCAAGAGGCCACGTTGGCTAATTCGTGTGGCCTGGTATAATCATGTCATTTTGACATTAGGTCCTACCAGGAATAGCCTTAAGCAGCAGAAGCTGTGAGTCTGGAGACTCGGGTTTCCTGTTCCAGCCATGTACACAAGTGTTTAGTGGTTGCAATTGGCAAATATATCTTGGAAAAGTTTTTTAATAGACCAGTGATTTTCTTATATTTAAAGCATGTTTTGAGTTATGGTCTAATCAAAACATTTGAGAGGGTATAAGTTTACTTCTTTACTTTAGTCTACCATTGGAAGACCTACAGGGCTAACTGGCTTTCATGTAAGATGTGTCAATATTGGAAATTTTTATGTGACTTCTATGGATTTTTATGGAGACTGATGTCGCTGAGCATGCATGAGCCATGGAAGGGTTAACAGAACCAAAGCCTTTTTGCTGCTGCAGAATCTAGTGTGCTCTTTTGAGAGGGGGAGGGAACCAAGAATTAAATCTGATTTATTTTGCACAGGCAAACTCAGTACAATAGAATTTCCTTTGTTTTCATCTGTAAAACCAATAGACCAAAAAGGAATAGAGGTGAAGGGTTATGGGACTTGTATTTTTCTACCCTCTGTGACTGTCTTCAGTATTTCTTGTTATCTGCAGATATTGCTTTCAGCACAGTGACCTTTGAATAAACAGGATTGCGGTGCCCTGAAAGATGCAAAATAAAAAGCACAGACAAATTTGAAAAACCATTAGGTCTGTGACTTCTTTTCAGCTAAACTGGATACTCAGAGTAGACTTCAAATGCTAAAGTAATAAAACGTAAAGATCTAGAGAAGACCCCCACGAGAATCTCTATTTTAACTACTGATCTGCTTCTGCTTAATTCCATATGGGGCGGGTAGTTTAATTGGTGACCTTTTTGTGTGATTTTAAGAGTAAAAAATAAACCCACTGCATACTTGGCAAATATTATTGCCACACCAGAACAGGGGGGAAAAAACCTGAAAATCTTTTCAGAGTCTGTATAGTTGTTAGAAAGTTTATACCCAACTTTTTCTTCTGTAAACATAAATATAGCCAACATTTTACTGCTGAAACTAATAATTTAAAGAACTTCTCATGAAAGCTTGAAGAATTGCCTTTCCCATTTGTGGCACAGAGCCTGTAGTTCCTATTCAAATCAGTCAGTCAAAAGAAGGGAAAATATCTATGCATCTGCACATCCCATTATACCCTAACCTCTGAATGCAGAAATGGTATCTGAGTAGTGACAAACTGTAAAAGTCATCGAAGGAAGCCTGCTATGGCTTGTTATGAACTCTACCTGCCTACCTGCTGCAGTGATTCATTTGTTCCACATGAACAGATTTCGGAAGGACCACTTAGTACATGTCCGTACTACAGTAAACTGCATTATTCCCTGTTCCAAGTACTTTCACATGACTCACAAGCTTTCCAATTGCCAGACAAACTTCGTTATAGTCCATCTACTTCCCTTGGAATATGGCATTTGAGGCCGTTTTCAGGGTTGCTTTACATAATATGATATGCTGTGACTAGGTACAAAGCTATTTACTTATAACATGGACTAAGCAAACACAAATTTAAGGCAAGTTTTCCTGAACCCTGGGCCTCAAGCCAGTCTTTTTGTATTGTCTGCAAGTAAGGATGGCAATAGGGAGAACTTCTTCTGGGATGGTCATTTGCAATCTATCTGGTCACAGTGGTATCAAACCCACCTGGCAAACATGCAGCCAGCATCTACTTTGGAACTCAGCCTGCCAGCACAGCCCATGAGCTCAGCATGGATTGTGAGCAGGAAGGCTATGCAGTATGCAGAGAGGCTTGGGAGGGAGGGCAAACATTTTTCACTTCATATATCATTGCTCACAGCTCACTGCTGGGATTCCACCAAGTCAGCCAGTGCTAAAATGTTGTGGAAAATGAAATTTCCTGGGTTATTGTTTTTGGCAGTTCTAATCACACTGGACAGTTGGGCACTGGAACACAAAACCTCCTCACTTTAATAGGAAAAAGACGTATGCTTAGTAACCTGCTCTGGTAACTAAGAGAAAAAGAAAAAAACCCTCTGTCCTTCCAGAACTGAAGCAGATGCTGAGTATTTCCGACATCCAGAGCAGTCTTTGCATCTGTCTGTAAAGGAACATCAGCCTATGCAGTACTGCAGCAATAATCAGAAAATGCATTACCTGCAGATGTCAAAGCAAGATCCCTCATGTGCGTTTCTTTGCTGTAGCTACTCTTTCCCACAGCCTAATCCATTTGAGTCTAACAGCAGCCAAGGCAGAGAAATTATTAGGAGGCTGGGAAGGGAAAGAGAATCTGCCAGGAAAAAATATTTACTCTCTCCCCTTGAGTCTTCAGGAACTGCAGGCCTCTGTGTTTCAATAATCAGCCTTAAGCCAGGCAAATGCATGCTGCTCCCTTCTCCTCCCCACAGCAGTGTTCAGATGGAGGGTTTGGACAGTATGCTTCAGAGTCACAGCGCCAAGAAACGCAGCGCAGGATGCTGAAACACAGAGAAGGCAAAGCTGAGTTCAAATATGATGTAAAATAGTTTTAAGCCACCTCTGTTTCCCTGGTTGGTGGCTGTAGATCAGTTCAGGACCATTATCTGTGTGACTGATGGGTTACTTAGTCTGTAAAATGTTGTACTGCCCTGTTCAGCTTGGTGTCCCAACCCCTGTCAGCACATAGCCGCCACCAGCTTGCTCTGCAGTGTTGGTTCCAAAAGCAGAGGATGCTTCTGGTCCTCAGGCAGGGGTGTAGAAGGGGGGATGTGTGTGACCAGTGGCTGAGCGCTTTCCTTGATACAAAGGCAGGCGGTGAACAAAAAACTCACTCATCTTAAGTGATTACCTCTTATTACCACTCTTCAGTTACCGCTGTGGACTAAGGCTGACCTTGCACCAGACCTCTGCGGCAGCCCCGCAGCTCCGCGCCGCCAGCCCCTGCGGTGATGCCGGCTCGCTGCGGAGGGCCGCGCTGTCAGGAGGCGGCAGCGCTCCCCTGCCCGCCGCCCGCGGCCCGGCTGTGCTCCCGCTGCTGAGGCAGGGGGCGGGTGCCCTCAGCATCTGTACAAACCCCAAGTGGTTCCTCGTCAGAACGGAGCGCACTGAGCGTGCTCCAGTTCTATTTGCAACACTCGAGGGCCCTCAGCACTTTGCAAGATTGCAAATAAGAATCTCCATGTAACACTTCTGCAGGATGACTCATATTTGGACTCGTTTCAAATCAGTAATTCCTCTATAGACTAAACCACCCAACTCAAGCCAACACGCATTCACCCTATTACTCATTCTCTTTCTGGAGCACCCATGAGCAATACAGGCCTTGCAACAGAATTAAAACCCCCCAAGCTCTGATGGATCAAAGTGGTGAATGCAATGGTAGCAGTTGCTTCATGACAGACTGCTGTGATGCTACCCATGTACAGAGAAAGGGTCACTCAGAGGAAGTGCTGGGGTCATCTGGATCTGAGCTAAGACGAGCAGTGTCCTTTCAGGTCTCCTAGTGAAAAGAAATTAAAAAACCAATAAATAATAAGAAAAAAGCAAATCTAAATCCTTCTGTTGAAACTACTGATGTGGAGACTCCCTTTTGCTTTAAAACTCCAGCTCTGAGAGGGATTAGCAGGTTATTTAATATTTTTATTGCCTTCCCATCTCATCGCATAATACTGTCTCAAGGAACATCACACTTCGCGCCAGGAGCACTTAGGAGACACCATCTTGGGTAGCCTGCGCAAACAATCTGTATTATTTTCAAGGTTCAGTGCTGATTTCTTTGCACTCTTCCAGTCTCCTAATACAGAGCTTTGATGGGTTGGTCTCTGCTTCCACTAGTTTAATGCTTCTAAACATGAGCTAAAAATATAAGTGACCAGAAAGGGAAGTGACTTTCCCAGAGCAGTAGCCAGTACTCAGAGCTCAGTGTGCTAATAAACCCTAAAGGTCATAACCACTAAAACCAGCACTGGGGTCTATAAATTCTGTCATGCACATATGGCATTTCTTCACTTGTAGTGGTACATTGATATCCTAAAGAAGATCAGGGCACTCTGTGCTGCACACTTACGTGAGACAATCCCTGCCAAAGGGCACTCAGAGTCTAAAGAGGTAATTTCAGTTTTACTCGGAGAGAAGGGCAGCCCAGAGGGACCGCTTGCTTTCACAAGCTTTGATGGAAGTGTATTTAGGCAAAGCATGGCGAGCTGCCCCTCCCCAGCTGCCCTGGGATAACGTGGCAATCTGATGGCTGGAGTGGTGCAGGGCTGTGCCACTTGGACCCTGGCAGCCTGTGAGGCAGTGGGGGATGAAGGAGAGCATCACTTGAACACCTTGTTGCCAAGTGCTCTGTTTTCTTTCCAGTCTTCATTCCCATGAACCTCCCACAGTGGACTAGTGGAAAGGTCCTGCCTCACCCCAAGAGAGGTTGAGGGATTTTCCGAGTTATTTCGCTGTCTGGTCTTGATAGAAGGATGACAAACCAATGCTACTCAGTGTGGGGCAACTAAGCATCTCAGTGTCTCCCCCTGGGCCTACCATTTATGTATGGCTGTGTCCTTTCCTTTTGAGCTCAGGGTAAGTTTCTTCCATGCCTGGTACAGTGCTGGGGTCATCAGATACTGTTTTGTTGAGAAATGGAAAATGCCACTGTTGACTGTGCAATAAATGATGACAGGAGCTGGTAGTAGATGGCCAGGAGATTTGAGAAAAGTTCTACATTAAAAGCATCAGGCTTTATAAACTGTCAGTGAATGAGAGCACAGGAGCACTGCCTGTACACAATGCTGCCGAGATTAATATTCCAGAATTGTTTTCTAAACCTTTTCCTTTCTTTTTTTCTCTTTTCCAAATAATTGCAACAATAATGCTAAAGAAAACCTCTTCCACACAGACCATTTCTGTTGTTGTAGGAGTTTTTGAATGCCAAATACCTGCTGAGTTGATCTTTGGAAGAACAAGAAAAGTTTGTTCTTGTATATGTAGATTGTTTCAGGGTATTGTTTGATTCTGCTTTTGATAGGGGTCATGTTTCTGGGCTTAGCTGGATAGTTTGTTTGTTCCTATTCATTAAAAGGGACCCTGCAGCTATTTGGGGAGGGAGAGTGGTATTACATTATTATTGCTCCAAAAAGTATGGACAAAAATGTATTGTAAAAATTCCAGGGTTTCTGGTAGGAGTTCTCTCACTAATAAATACTCTCAGTCTGCTGAAGTGTAGTTAATGTGCTAGCATTGTGTTGGGCTAATTAGATAGCTCCTTAAGGTACACAGTTAAAATATACAGATAATTCTACTTCTAACCTTTTGGTACAACAGTCAGTACAATACTTACTCACACAATGGATAAGGAGAACAATAACTTCCAGAGTCAGACGTTACTTTGGTCACCTTGTTTCATAGCCCTTGCAATTCCATTGCAAATAACAGTGAAGGGTCCTGTCTCCCTGCTCCAAGATTAAAGTACATCGATGCTGATAAAAATTACTCATACCTTGGGGAAGCAGACAAAGGCCCTTGGGTGAGATCAGCTATGCAGTCTGCCTACAGAGGGACATGAACTGAACTAACTCTGCTTGCTCAGGAACAGCACTGGGCAGTCTCTTCCAGAATAAAGTGCCTGTGGAAGAAACAGGCATCTTGGTTGAATTATGCCAAGAGAGCCAGTGTATGCTGGAGTTGCTGATCTGTAGCAGATTCTTCTCACCCACCATGCTGTCAAAGCCACACCTACTGCACCGAGGCAAATATTTTACTTCCTCTGAGAAGTTCCATCTAGCCCATGGTTGCCCTTGCAGGAGTCCTGGAGCGTTGCCGTTATTGTCACTGCGCGCAACGCTTTTCTAGTGGCCAGCTTTAATACTCAAGTCCATAACTCAGAGGAGAGTTTGCAAGCTGTCTTTATTTGGCCTTGTCTTTCTTCACTCTGTGTAGCTCTTTAGTCATTCATGGCATTATCCTACACTGCCAAAGATGTTTCTCCTGCCACAGACTAACTTTTCCATGAAGAAACTCACAAGAGATTTCAGCTTTGCTGTAATGCAGAGTAATGACAGCCTAATAGTATCTAACCTCCTACAAAGTGCTCAGAAACAGGGAGGGTGGCTGAGATTATTCAGTACTGTGAACTGCATTCCGCTAAGCAGATAAAAACAACTGCCTAACAGCTCTGAACTGATCGGAATATTCATGCCTCTAATTAGAGAAATCTTTATAACCCACTCTTTTTACTCTGTTCCAGAGTTACTGTAAAGACAGTAATAAAGAGACCACAGAATCTGTTCTTTTTAGGTACCTATATTATTATTTTTGCAGCCCAAGATGGTTGGTGGTACCAAATGTACATACAGCAGATATAACGGAGTGTTTCATCACTGCACTCATCATGTGTAACTTGATGGGAATAACAATATCTTGCTAGCACAACACCAGAGAGAAGTGAATGAAGCAAACTCAGTATAACTGGGTCAAACAAATCCTTGCTACAGAGTAGTATTGTCTGTGTTTCAGGTAGATAAATCTTGGCTTTAATGTAATTTGGAATTTTTAATTAAAACCTTGTGCCTTCCAAAGATTCAGTAATTTGTTCCTTTCATAGTTGTGACCCACATGACTGATTCTCCCCTCTTCTGCGCCCTGTAACTGGAGGAGAGTGTGAATTCCTGCCTCCTGGTGTTGCGTCCTCCTGAACCAAAGATGGAATAGTACTTGTGGCAGCTTTTCAAATGAAACTGGAAAAAGGGCCTTGTCTTCAAAACTGTGAAGTCTCCTCTTTAATTCTTTAATTTTTAAGGTTTTCTTCAAATTCTGTAATCTCAAGGTTTTGATATTTTTTCTGATTCGAGTTTTACTTCTGTCTTCTCACTGGTTTTTGTCCCTAAACATAAAGGAAGAGTGAGTGTGGGGTATTTTGTTATTCCTTTCTCTTTTCTATACCACCCTGTACATTTCAAAACAGATCCAATATTTTTCTGATGGCAAAAGACCAAAGAAACCTCTGTCACTTCATAAACTCTGAAGTTAAACAGCAAAAAAGAGAAAAGTGAGAGTGAGAGAATTTAAAGCAGACCCAAAACTGTTCAAAAGGGAAAGCAAAAACATTTCTCTATTTTTACTGTTTATTGTCAGCAGAATCCTGTCTATCCTGTCTTCTCTTTCTTTTCCTCTTGCATCTACAGTAAAACCAGACTTCAACACAGATTAAAACCTTGACCCCTAGAAGTCTGACGCCTTTTAGTGCCTTCCAGTGCTTAGATAAGATTTTAATACTGGATGTACAGTTAGCATAATAAGAATTATCATTACCAACCATTATCATAACTCATGTTTCATTAGTGACCAGTGCTCAACATTCCTTTGGAATGTCATTGACAGCTCCACATTTGTAACTTCAAAGGACCATACTTGTAATCCCAAGGATCATATTTCCCTTTGACAGTGTACAAGCAAATTGCACCAAAGCCATCAGTCTGACCAGCGGTAAAAGCCACTCAGTTTTGCACTGAGTCTGGGTATTTTGACAAATATCTTCCACTTACACTATTGAAAAAACAGCTCTTCACTGTTCATGCACAGCTGCGAAAATCAGCGTCTACACATATACAATGAAGGCAATTGCCCACTGACATAACCTCTCTCTGGAAGTTACTGCAAGACCAGAAGCTCTACTGAAAGCACAGCTGAAGCTGCCCGTGCTGCAGAAAGCACTTGGTGAAATGCTATGGCTTGTGCAATGCAGTCAGACTCACTGTGTCCCTTCTGGCTTTAAATCCCAATGGGAGGAGGCAGCAGCAGCCTTCTGAGCAACCTTCGGGAGCTGGGCAGGATCTGAGCAGCTGGTTTATGTTCTCTGCCCAAACAGCATGCTGCCTCTTTAAGAATGAAGACTGTAAGAGTGTTATGTTCTATGCAGATGTGAAGAATAACAAACTAGCAGAAGACAGAAATAAATCAAATTCTGGTAGCAGAACAGACTTTAAACCATCAGGCTAGTTACAAACAAGCGAATTTATAGATCTATTTATATGTATTAAAAAATGTGAAAAACGCACCTGTCCTTGGCATAGTCCATTCCAGTTCAACGTGTATCTAAAATTATGTCTGCTCTCGAGAGGATTTCCTGCCCATTGCAGAACTGAAACCCTCCTTGCTATTCTGAGTGTCTGTTGAAAGGAATCACAGCTTCAGTAGATAGATATTTCAAAGGCGAGAAGAAAAGACAGATCATTCCTCAGATCAATCTGACCTTGCAACCCACATGTTCTTTCAAGTTCTTACTTTCCTGATTGCATCTTTTGTTACTGCTATATTTCTGTTCAGAGAGGGACAGACAGACTAGTCAGTAATACATAGAGCGCTGCAGTAGCAAGACTGTACCCATGAAGGGCAGGTGATTTTCTCTAGATTTTCTTTCCTGTCTATATTTTTACAAATGCCAGGGTTAAGAGTGAATAACACAGGGAATGCCTGGACAAATGCAAATCAACAGCTTTGCCATCTACAACCCACTGCTGCTTGTGCAGTTGGTAGGTGTGGGCTGCAAAAATCAATGTGCTGAAAATGAGCACAAAGGTTTGCATCAGGAAATGGAGAACTATTTCTCTGTTCTTTGTACATTCTTTGGTCCTCTCCTAGCTTTTTCTTAGGCATGGCTCTCCATGGCTTGGCTCTAGGTCTCTATAATTTTCTGTCTTTTTTGGGTTTGTTGTTTTGTTTGGGTTTTTTTCCTTCTGCCTTTGAATCTCACTCATATGAGTTCTCTTCTGGCCCTTCATGCTTCAGCATCATCTCTGACTCTTGTCAGACACAGCTCCATCGCAGTGAGAAACACCATGCTTCTAGTCCTGTGGAAATATCCCAGTATGACATGATGAAGGACCAGAAGTGTCCCCTATTGCACACTCTGTAAAGAAGACACATCTCTCCTTGTCATTTGCTGGTGACTAACACTACTGCCAAATGAGCTCCCTTCTTGGTAATTCTGGACCTTAGCTGAGACATTTAGCTCCCCCTGTGTTCTGCAGGCAAGATCCATGTTCTGGAAAATTCTGGAGTTCTTGTGGGGGCCAGGCAGCTAAAGTGAGACTTTGTGATACCTGTTGTGGCATCCAAATCTCTTGTTTTTATCTAGCCCTAGATGTCAATGGGACCGGGCTGTGCAGAGCAGCTGTGGGCTCACAAAGCACAACTGCAGAGTAGTTCTGAATATGTCACATGCTCTAATACTAAATTTTGGATTAATTTGCCTTACTGCTGGCAAAAGCCCCTTCATTTTGCCTGTAGCTAAAACATGTGAATCAGTACCTTTTGTCAATTCACAGACTTCCAAGATACCCAGATTCTCCCATTTACCTTGCTCTGCAATTCACATCACGCTGTTCTCTGCATGGGATGCAAAGATTTTGATCCATGCCACATGCTGCACATCTTCCCAATGAAGAAAAAACCCTCCCTTGCTGGCTGGTACCCTGCTGACTTCCCATTTCTGCTAATTAGGACCCTGAGTAGTTAGTACAAAATATAAATGTGGCAGGATTCCAAGCTGCAAAAAGAAGGGAAAGTAGGGGAAAAAAGGGTTG